AAAGACTCAGTTCTTGAGACCGGAGGCCATCATCTTGGATAAGCTCTAGAAATGGGCACGAGGGGGTCGTGAGGGCACTGCTGGAACGGAGCGACGTCAATCCCAACACAGCTGACACCCGGACTGGCAGAACACCGCTCTCATGGGCTTCCGGGAATGGGCACGAGGGGGTCGTGAGGACACTACTAGAACGGAACGACGTCAATCCCAACATAGCTGACACCTGGTCTGGCCAAACACCGCTCTTGTGGGCTGCTGGGTATGGGCATGAGGGGGTCGTGAGGACACTGCTGGAAAGGGGTGATGTCAATCCCAACGCGGTGGAAACCAAACATAGGAGAACACCACTGTTGTGGGCTGCCGGGAATGGGCATCAGGGGGTCGTGAGGACGCTACTGGAACGGGTCGACGTCAATCCCAACACCGCCGACAAATATGGTCGAACAGCGCTCTCACGGGCTGCCGGGAATGGGCGTCAGGGGGTCGTGAGGATACTATTGGAACGGGTCGACGTCAAACCCAACACCGCTGACAAATATGGCCGAACAGCGCTCTTGCGGGCTGCCGAGATTGGGCATGATTGTGTAGTGAGGATGCTCCTTCAACTGAACGACGTCAATCCTAACATAATTGACGCCATATATCGCCAAACGCCACTCTCGTGTGCTGCCGAGAAAGGGCATGAGGGGGTCGTGAGGATACTACTGGAACGGATCGATGTCAATCCCAACACAGCTGACAAATATGGCCGAACACCGCTCTCACGGGCTGCCGAGAATGGACATGATGGGGTTGCGAAGATACTGCTAGAACGGATCGACGTCAATCCCAACACAGCTGACAAATTTGGCCGAACACCGCTCTCGTGGGCTGCCGAGAAGGGGCATGAGGGCGTCGTCAGGATACTACTACTGGAACAGGATGTCAATCCCAACATTACTGACACCTACTATGGCCGAACGCCACACCAGTGGGCACTCAGGAATGGATTTGCGAGAATTGCGAGGCTACTACAGTAGCGGATAGATTTAATTCCCGGGCATAGAGAAAGCCCGCGACTAACCGAGGTGTTCTTCCCCCACCCGTCCGAGCCATCTGAATCCCCTTCCAAAAGGCCACGCGGGTTTTGATCCCCAACGGTAAACTCGACACTTCTCTCTCCTGATAGATACCAGCTGTACCCTCCCTACACGAGCAAAGTTGGCAAAACGAAATCCTTAGCCCGCCACACACAGCCCTTTGTATGCCGATCGACAAGATATTATACCACAAACGTCAAACCTCCGAACCGTCGGGTTCGAATCCTTCGCTATCTTCTTGGCATATCTTGTTACAGCATTGCTTAGGTTCAGTTCAACCTATTTTGTATATATCCATGGCCTATTTGTGATTTCCTATACCCCATTCTCCTTCCATATGCACCCTTGTATCTTCCTTATTTTCCCTATGCTGATTGGCTTAAGTTATTTCATGTTTTTCAATCACTGACCTCGTACTTCTATTATTGCATAATAACCGTGTTGTGTTATAAGAGGGGGAAATGTAAGCTTCATAGACATAGACATATATTAGACGTAGACATATATACTCCACCCACGAGAACAAATGCGCCGCAGGAATTACTGGGAAAGAGTTTAAGGTGCGTGGTTCATAGAGTTTGCTCGATATTTTCTCTCTTCTCCCACTTTTTCCCCTTCTTCCGCTGCCACCTATACTTCGCCACCCCCCTGTTTCCATATTTATGAGATCAAACTTTCGTATTAATACCAAAGATGCCATAGCTTTTTGCTCCCTCTTAATCCGATCAAAATCAACTCATACCCTTGCTGCTAAACATGCCCCCATTCCCACTCTCACCCGGGGAGGTCTCTCACAGGCGTTCTTATAGGACGGCTTCTCTCCACCCTGTCTTTCGCGACCCTGCACCGTCTCCGGCCTGTGAGAGACAAGGTTCGAATCCCCTTGATCTCAAGGATTCATGACGCATGGCCAGCGCCACAATAGTCCACAAAATAGTCCGCTAGTACATCTCCACTACTGGGAACATGATTGCGTCTCTAAGAGTATGTTGCTTATAGTATGTTACTGGCGCCTTACCGCAGAGCAAAATTATAAGGTACAATGCTGGAAGACGGAAACATTACCTCGCACTGTGATGTTAAATTCTGATGCAGAGCGACAGTGTAGTTTGCCATAGCAGCTTATGTAGGGGAAAGTGGCAATTAATCAAACTTTCCTATAACTTAACTGGTCGATTTCGGATGACCGGGCTGTAGAGACTGGTGATGGTTGGACACGAGACCTAGAGATGAGGAGGAACTGGATCCACGATATTCTCACCCGCAAGTACGAGATCTAAGTTGATATTAGTATATAATATTATTTAAAAAAAAACCTAAATTAGGCCGGCCCCCCACCAACCTAGGTCAATTCTGAATCTTCCCCTCCTCTTAAACCTCCCTTGTGCTCGGGTGCACAGAATCGTGTGGGGGGCTATGTCGGTTCGGGGGTTATTTCGGGATGGCACATACTCAAACATCTCAGTTACCGCATTGCTGGACTCATAGATGGCCACGCAGTTGATTACGGTCAGAGGAAGTGGTCTCAATAAAAGAGGTGTAGAGTAGGTCTCCTTTCGTGTGTTTAAGCGCTGCGGTTTGTACTCTATCCCGATAAGAACAATGCCTCCCTCGACACCTTAGACAAGAGGTATCCTACAGTATTGTTCTTGAAAAAAGTGACGCCAAATGCTAATTCCAGTATCTAAGTTACTCGTAATGTGGATGTGGGATCCCGGCACAATCACTGATAGCGCCTGACACGATTCTAATCCCAATGTTTCTCACAAGATACTACCGGGCTAACGCTGTCCAAGAGGGTGATGGTAAGGTACTTAACATATTTCTCGGGAGGGAGTAGAGTGATTGGTTGTGATAAGTCGCCTATACCAAGTCTATAAGGGAGGGGGGGATTGGAGATCTCGATATTTGTATGCTTTGGGGAGTATCGAAATGGAGTTGTACTATACTAGAGGATCGGAATTCATGTCTATCTGTTCGCCTGAGCGCCATGGTATTAAGTCTCGCAAGGCAATGTCCGCTAATTCATGGGCTGTTAATCTCAACATCCATATTCGAGTATGTAATAACACGAGGGCAAAGTAATGAGTCCATGGGACCGCAGGAAAGTCTGGATACCGTACCAAAACAGTATGAAAATTAGGTCGTATGATTTACCAATAATTCGCTTCTCTTTGCCTAGATATTATTTCGATTTGCGTGGGACCAACGCATCGCTTATTTTCCGCGAGGCTAGAGATCCCGCATCCGGATAGTATTCCAATACGGTGGTACAGTACAGATATGGTGCCGGGCTCTTGAAATCGACAACAACCAGGCAAGAAAAGCGAAAATCCAGATGACCCCGACCCTCGATCACAACCTTCATGGAGTAAAAATTAAAACATAGATTTATAGATTGAGAAGCTCTGAATAAGTCTACGTTGAGTTATTCTCATTTAAGCTGTTGGTTAGCGAGAAAAATGGGGTTCAAGATGGGTCATTGTGTTAGTCGATCAAGATGAGTTATAAATCAGCCACATTATGCATCTACCTGGTGCCGAGTGACAATCTATGATCCCAGAGGTGAGAAGCAACCACTGGAAATGCGTAGAGTAAGGGGCAGTCAATCCTCATCAACAAGTGAGTGTTAACCCTCATAAATAATCACAAGTCTGGGGCTATCAACAAGTATTTGACAATGCCAGTTTCCTTTAAAAAAAATGGCAGCATTAACAGGTGATAGCACATCAGTGGTAGATAGAATACTCTGAGTATGGCAATCATGTTACTAGTGTGAGTGAGAGAGATAGCTGCAATAGTGAGAGGAGTGATACTGACTGCGATGTGTCTGGTAATGAATCAGATGTTTTAGAAGTAGAGGAGGATGAGAGTGAGAGTCATAATGATGCCAGTAGTTAGAGAAAGAGAGTGTAAGTAGATATCCAAGTTAAAGTACAATTGAATCATTTTGACATGCAAAATCACTTAGCATTATAAATATAGTAAAGCTTTAGATGATTTGAAGTGGGATGAGGGCACTGAAAGCATTATGCGTCAGTTATATGGCCTTGGATCCAGAAAGACCTCCTATAATAATTGGAAGAATAAGAGTAAACTGACTATTGCCACTAGCACTTCCTACGATATTAAGGCTGTATTTCAATGTCAGATAGATCTTAGAATTAGGGTGGCTGCAGAAGGACATGGGCTTAAGGGAGAGGACTCAGAAGAGTTTGCAGTTCGCCCATCAAGGCAAATTACGATGGAAGAATTGCCTACCAGAGGTCTATGACTGGTACCAGTACTTGATTAGCAGTTTTGTTTTGTTTTAAGCATCATTTGATACTTGGTTTTATTTTATGTTTTGTTTTAAGTATTGTTTGATACTTGGTTTTATTTTATGTTTTATTATAAGTATTGTTTGACACTTGGTTTTGTTTTATCTTTTGTTTTAAGTATTGTTTGATACATGGTTTTGTTTTATGTTTTGTTTTAAATATCATTTTGACAAGTGGTGTTACCAAAGTGTATCACTTGATACCTTTGAGTAGTTTCATTCATACCAGATATGAACACATATGTGTATGTAAAAACCACCTGATTCTATGATGGAAAAGACAGACTTCAATAGATAGTATTTCAATATACTTGGTTGAACAGTTACTCTTTAGTTTTTCCAATAAGCAATAGAAGCCTCCATCAGTTCGCAGCTCTCGTCTCCTCTCTAGTAGAGCA